GGACATGGAGATATTGACTTTGGGAATGGAAAGAGAATAGGTCTGGGGCCCCGTGTTTAGACAGCCAAGAAAACCTGGCACCTGCTGTTGGGGGTAAAAGGCACCTCAGGCTTCTCCAGGGAAACAAACACTAGGAGACTGGCAAGTATGAAATCTATAGGGCAGGCTGGCTGGCTGGCAATTCAGGTAAAAGGTGAAGGTGCAATTTGGTGTCCAAAATCTGTAGGGTGGGCCAGCAGTCTGGGAACTCTATATTACAGTCTTCAACCAGAATTTCTTCTTTTCTGGAAAACCTCAGTTGTTGCTCTTACAGTCTTCAACTGATTGAACAAGGCCCATGCACATTATAAAAGGTAATCTGTTTTATTGAAAGTTAACTGATGGTAAATATTAATTACATCTACAAAATACCTTCATAGCAACATCTAGACTAATGTTTGAGAGAGGGAGAGAGAGAAACATCAATGTGAGAGAGAAACATTGATTGGTTGCCTCCTGCATGCAACCTGAGTGGGGATCAAACCCACAACTTGGGTATATGCCCTGGCCAGGAATCAAACCCAACACCTTTTGGTGTACAGGATACCACTCCGACCAACTGAGCCACACTGGCCAGGGCTGTCATTTTTTTTTTTTTCTTATCCTGAAAAAACAAGTATTGAATTTAGTAAAATTGGGTTCACAGACCAGGTTATGAACATTAATGTCCTGTATGCTACATATTTATTCAAAGAAAATAAGTATATTAACTATAGCATTTATGCTGGGTAAAAGGTTAGATGAGTAACATTAGCAGTTCCCAACGAACTAAGTTATAAATTTCTAGAAAGCAGGTGAGAGTTGTCCTCTTCCTTTGAAAACGCAATACGTCTTAGGAAGTGTTGTGCTTTCATTAGACATCTATTAAATGAGAATCAATCAGAGTTAACATTCTACTATTCATTGATGCGTATCACCCAAAGAGGTTTAGGCAAACTGACCAGGGGACCAATAGTTTTGTAAACAAAATCTTACTGAAATAAACCCATGCTTATTGTCTCTATATTGTCTCCCCACACCAACCCCCCAGCATTTACACCTTTTCCCCTACCTTTGATGGCAGAGTTTATTAATTCCAATAGAGACTATATATATATAGCCTACAAAGTCTAAATTTTTTGTAGTCTGGCCCTGTACAGAGAACATTTGTTGACCCCTGACCTAGAGGTTCTCCCTGCCTTTGTACCTTCTCTTATAGTCGATGTACTTGTACTGAATAACCTAATGCCACCCCCACTCCTACCTCAGCTTCATGAAATCTGAGGACAAAGCCCCACTAGGAAGTACTTGGGCCCAGACAGCTCAGGGCTCTCACCTTTCCATACTTATCCTCTGCCATCACAGTTCTGTCTCACCCCAAACCACTATGTTGAGACGGTGTTGAGCTCCAACTGTTCAAGAGCCATCCTGGGCTCTCAGGTTCTTAGCATCACTTTGGGAGATGGAATCTTGGGACTTTCCCTGAGCATGTCCATTGCACCACTAACAAGACTTTATTGAGATAAATATTCTTCCTTTCTACTTAAGCAGGGAAGGGTTTTCTGGTTTTGCTTCACTGACCAGAGACTGAAGTGAGAAGTGATTGTTGTGGGAGTGCCCAGTAGGGCTCAGAAGCTCAAGCAACAGCTGCTCAGGGCTTGGTTTTCCACTCCATAGCTCTGTCCATAACTTCCTGGGCAACTCTGAGAAAGGTGTTACCTGTTCTTATTCTTGTGGAAATCCAGACTTCTCAATATTTCCAGATGGACCTTCAAGACCTTAACTTTGATAATACAAAATAAAAAGACTCAAATCAAACCACCTTTTTCTGTCATGGATGGGGTAGGCATTAGTGTTATTTTACATATTTCCTGGATGTCTTGTTTTTGTGTATATGATAGGTTTGCACTTCTCTGCAATTAACTTGGTAGCTAGGTGTGGTCATGTGACTTGCTTTGGTCAAGTAAATGTAAGCATAAGTGATGGGTATTACTTCTGGGTAGGAGACCTAAAAGCAAGTGTGTGCTTTGCCATATTTTCTTTTTGCAGCTGGCATGGTAACCAGCAACATTTGAGCTAGTGATTGCTACATCAGCCTGGGTCTCTGAGTAACTACAAATAACAGAGCCCCCTGCTGACCTGCAATGGACATGGAATATGAGCAAGAACATACCTTTGTTTATTATATCGAAGTTGTTTGCAGCATAGTCTAGTCTACCCTGACTGATATAACAGGGAAAAACTGGAACCTCTACTCAATAGATCATATGTTACTATTTAAAATTCTGTTTCTGAGGAATAATAATATGGGGAGATGCTTTCTACAAAAGAAAAAGAAAAAAGTAAGATATGAAAATGTACTTACCATGCCATTAATACTCTATTTAAAAACTGGGTTTTGCCCTGGCCTGTTTGGCTCAGCAGCTGGAACATCGGCCTGCAAACCAGAGAGTCCCGGGTTCTGTTGCTGCTAGGGGCACGTACCAAAAATAAATAAATAAATAAATAAATAAATAAATAAATAAATAAATAAAAATAAAATAAAAACTGGGTTTTAATAAATCCACCACATCTCCTTTCTCCCAAAATATGAAATAAAAATGCCCATAATTATTATCTTTATGTTATGGAAACTTGTATTGTTTTCTTCTTCTGTGTTTCCTGAATTTTCTCTACTTTTATACATTTTTAACTGTCCCAATATATCACTTTTAATTACCCAGGGACGCTTGCTAGATGAAGAACAAACTTTCTGAAGCCCTTTTATCTATCCCCCTACCCCCACTTCTCTATATCCCAGTAGTTAGATGCATTACATAGGGGGGGAAACTCTATATGCCCTTTCAATGACATCTACCAATGTCTTCGTTGCTTTCAGAGATTACTAGCCCAGTTAACCTGAAAGGGATGGATACACACTGCAAGGATGTAAAAGATGAAGTGACTGTACAAGGTTATTTTATAAATTAGTGGTACAACTGGAGCTAGAATCCAGGCCAGCTGAGTCCTTATCTGTGGCACACTGTTCTTTCCATTTGTGTAAATTCTTCTTGCAGCTACTCTTACTCACTTGTGCTGCTATTTGGGTCCAAAGCTTCTTGCTATTCTACAAACAACCAAGTTGTCAACCAGTAAACTGTAATAGTGGATTCTGATATTATAGGTATATATCAAGCCTCCTTTAAAAAAATGTTATTCTAGTCATTAAGCTGTGGTTTGTTAGAGCTTACAGACCTGACTTTCTCATTTTACAGGTAGTGAGATTGAGGCTAAGGGATAATAAGTGACTTCTTTGAATGAAATAATAACAGAAAAACACAACGTCTTGTTATTCCCAGTATAGTGCTATTCATTCATTCATTCATTCACTCACTAACTCACTCACTCACTCACTCACTCAACACGCTCACTCTCAAACATGTATTAAGTGTCTGCTGTTTTCAAGATCTTATGTCAGGTAGACTATGTGGGAATTGTGAAGTAAGTACAATATTAGTTATCCAAGGTTCTTACAATAGAGTATAAACAGAAAACTGTTCTTTTTTTTAAAATTTTTTCCTTTATTGATTTTAGAGAGAGAGGAAGTGAGAGAGAGAGAGAGAGATAGAAACATCAATGAGAGAGATCATCAGTTGGCTGCCTCCTGCATGATTTCCACTAGGGATTTGGCTCACAACCTGGGCATGTGTCCTGACTGGGAATTGAACCAGCAACCTCTTGTACTTACTTCACAATTCCCACATAGTCTACCTGACATAAGATCTTGAAAACAGCAGACACTTAATACATGTTTGAGAGTGAGTGTGTTGAGTGAGTGAGTGAGTGAGTGAGTGAGTGAGTGAGTTAGTGAGTGAATGAATGAATTAATGCATGGGTGGATGCTCAACCACTGAGCTACACCAGCCGGACCAGAAAACTGCTTATTGGCTTAAGCTAAACTTAAAACAAAGGAGATCAGCTTTCTGTATACCTCCCCGAAATTGATCCAATCTCTATGTTGTTTCGTATTTGTGCATGAGTTTCTTGTCTATACAGAGGGGACACAGGAGATAAAGCAGAGAGACAGGGAGACATGGGGCATCGGCAGGAAAAGGGATGTGATGCTAGTTGAAGAGAGCCCAGTGTGAGATAAGAGGGAAGACTGTTGGCGGCCATATTACGAGCCACAAGTTCCAGGCAAAGGGGATCAGACTTTACTCACTGGGCATAGGTGCCTCCTTCAGGTCTCAGCAGGAAATGGCTGAAGGGGTGATAGCAATTTTACAAGTTTTTACTATTTACAAAGACATGAGCAAGATTAGGGGAGATCTGCAAGGGATACTGAGCACCTGGAATGAGCAAAAGCAGGGAACAGTTAACCATCCCTGGGCCTGAAGGGGAAAGGGAAGGAGCAGTCACTGGAGCCCTGGTGAGGACAGCAAGAGGAGAGGGCCACCCACGGGAGCTATGGCCTTTAACAAAGGGATGAAGTTCGCCTACAGCCTGTCTCGGGGGTTGCTGAGGAATCCATACCCCATCCTCACTCTCCTAACCACTGCAGTCTCCTTTCTCTCCTAGGCTGAGAGAAAGAATGGTATGGAAGCCAGGGGGAAGAAAACCCAGTGACACGTTCCACTATGCCCTCCTCCCTGGGGCACGAGCAGGAGAGAGCTGACTGGAGACTGAGGCCCTGGGAACAAACAAGTATCTGGCACAGTGGGGAACTCTAAAGGATTCTGAATAGGGGAGCCCTATGGACTGTGCTCTCGTAGTACTGAGCTGTCCGCAGCCCGGAGAATGGAGGGAGAAGGCCCTTGCAGTAGGTCTGGAGAGAGCGGCTGAAGACTTGGACTAGGGCAGTGCTAGAGGGGGAAGAGGTTTTGAACCATGCTGCCTCCAGGTAGATGAGCTTTTTTTCCTCAAGTAGTTTTTTACCCTAATCTGTTTTTGAGAAGTTCTATATCATAAAAGTGATTTTCCTGTTTGTGGACTTTTCTCCTCAGATTTGAACGTGTGGTCTCTGGAGCTGAGGTGACTTGACAGGACATCTTCAAGAAGCTTCTGGACTCTGAAAGAGAATCCCTGGGCCCAGAGTGTGTGTGTACTTTGCAAATTCCCTTGTATGACCCAGCACTTTAACCTGGAGACGGCAGCGAGACTAGGCAGCCCCTGGTCACGGTGTGCTGGAGGCGGGCGGGCAGCCCACCCCTCCACTATCTACCGGCTCCCAGGTCTGCAGCCTGTGATGGAGAAAGCACTGCTGCACTTTAGGAAATCACCATATTGGTTCCTGGACCCCAGCGACTGTCCTGAGGCTCCTTGCCTCAGGACTGAAAACAAAGGGAATTATTTCCTTTTAAGTTTCCAAAGTAATTTCCAGAGCAGAGATAAGTGGGAATTTTTGGTTACAGAAATGGACAGGTTGCCAACAGAAGTTATTTTCGCCTTTAAGAAAAGCCTATTGAAACTATCAGCTCACTTTGTTCTACAAAGTCAAGCCATAGCCGACATGGAATATGACTTACTGAAATCTTGAAATCGTTTGAGTTGTTCTAATTAACAGGAAGCATTTAAGTACACAGAGTGGCCAACCACAAATTGTGGAGAAAAGCAAGCAAGTATTTTTGTGTCATCTAAATCACAAAGCATTTATTTTCCCGGTAATGACACCATGTTGAACGATAGTTTTGTCGTCGTTGTTTTAACTACATCTTTCCTTCCAAAAATTCTGTTGGATTTTTTTTTAACCTTGGAAACCAATGATATACATTTAAAAGTTTGGGCATGCTAATACGCTGTGCCTGCAAAGATTTCAGATGAGTAGCCACAGTGGTCAAAGCCCCAGACTAAGGCACTTTTGCTGGCCCTCTATATGGCTTTGATGTACCTTTCAGTGGCTCAGTTTCTACATCTGAGATATGGTGATACCCACTAGTCAGGGCCTTTGATTGTTGGCACTAAGAAATCCTGGTGGATCCTATTATGTGTATGTTAAGGGCTAGGCTAACTGAGCACACCAACAACAGTTTCACTGGGTTAAATTTGGGGCCATGAAACGCAGGGCATTAGTTGACCCATGAACTATTCAAATGTGTATATTAGCAAGTATATGTACACATTATCAACAGTCTTAGGTCAGTGGGCCTAGAGCAGGCTCTTGAACTGGTGCTTAGACTGAAGAGAATTTGGAGTTAATGAGAATGAAGGGGTATGAAAGTGAGTAACAGACAAACCATATAACACCTCAATTCATCCATTCCCTGTTTTTACAAATCAAACAATGTCCTTGAAGATGAAAAACAACAACAAACAATCAAAAGAGGGATTGTTTGTTCTATATATTATAATTTTGGCTAAGTGACCATCCAGGGCCCATCCAGGTCAGTAAGTTTCATATTCCATCCGGCCAGTTGGCTCCCATAGGTTTGAAAGCCTTTCACTTGGATGCCCTCTTCAGAAGGGTGGGTCCCAGGGCTGTTTCCCAGCTCCCCTGTGTTGATCTGCGTTCCCTCCTTGAGGAGTAGCACATCCTAATGCTGTGGAGATCAGGGCGGGCAGTCAAGGCCGCCTCCCCGGGAAGCAAGCCCATCAATTCTGAACCCTCACCTGCCTTCAGATATGTGGTTAGCATGCTAAATCCTTGGCTGGTGGTGTTTAACCTAGGAACCCAGTGGCATAATGGTCAAAATACCACCATCTTTGGTCCTAGATTGGGGCTATTCTCTAGAATATCAAATAGTGAGAGGGATCCCCAGCTCCAGTATCCCAAAATTCAGGCTTCTTCAGGGAAGAAGAGCATAAGGCAGTGGGTCATAATATGAGAAATGTTCTATACTACAGCATACTATCAAACTGCCTGACATTTATCAAGTACTTACTATATACCCGATATTATTTAGCATTTTATATGTATTGAAATGAATTCTCTCAAAACCCTCTGAAAAAAACACTACTTATGTCTCCATTTTAAAGATAAGGAAACTAAGGCACAGAGAGGTTAAGGAATGTGATTAAGGCTGCCTGTTTAGTTTGGAAGGGATAGAGCGAGGGGAATAAAATCATATTTGTTATACTCCATAATGTGCCCTGATTTTCTACCATGTGGAACTCTACTGATTACACTTGCCCTGTGGTCTCTTTTACTGGTCAAGAATAAATCTCACTCTTACTATCCAGAGGGGAGGATGGGTGGACTGCGGGCCCTGTCATCAGAGATTCCAACCCCAGCTCGACTATGTGTGAGTTATACAACTTGGATATATCAGTTGATCTCTCTAAGCATCATATTCCTTATTTTTTAAAAAAAATGAATAGTATAAGAAAGGTGTCACAGGCAGTAAATACCTGATAAATATCAAGTACATTGGCAACCCCCCATGTATCAACCACTTCCCCTTGCTAAACAGGCAGTGCCCGGACACTATTAGAGTTGCAGGACATTTCTCCTAAATCCTACTTTAAAGGAATTTCCAGCCCAGGTAGATCGGCATGGGTTTCGCATCCCATGTACAGGCTCTCCTCCACCCAGAACACCCAGTTCCTTTCTGAAACTTCATTTCTCCCAGGCAAAATTCTATCCGTCCTTCAGATGCCAGTTCTGCCAGTGGATATTTTCTGATTTTCTCCAAATGAATAAGCTCTTATTTTGGGCACAGCAATATTTTCTTTGTTCCTCTCTGAAGCAGCTGTCTTTCTAGTTTTGAATCATATGGATTTAAGCATGTTGTACTTCCCCCTTGGACTGTAAGTTCCTGGAGGGCAGGAAGATTGTGGGATTTTTGTCATTCCTGAAGCACCTTGTATGTGATAGATACCTCATGCGTGATTGGCTATGAGACTCATCATAACACTGAGGAGAATGGCTACCCTTGACCTTCTTACTTTTTATGACCTTAATATGATTGGTTGAAAGGATATAAATGGCCATCTTTAAAACAAAAGAGTTAGATGAGTTCTAAGTCTTTTTTTTTTTTTTTAAGTACCTTTTACAAAGGAAGCAAAAATGGCATTTGGGAGAGTTTGAGGAATTGAGAAAGAACAAACAAACAAAAACCACCTATGATCTCATCATCCAAGTAAAAGTATTTTCGGTTTTGCTGTCCCCATTTTCTCTTCATCCGGGCATGTACATGGTTTCAGCGATAATTGCAACATGTAATTTTCTATCCTTTTTTTCTAATTTGTTATTCCTCATAAGCACATACCTGTGTTGCAACTGGTCTTCCTAATTATCATCTCTAATGAACGTACACATCCATGATGATGAGATGGAATTGGGCCCAGACTCTACTTATCACCTGGCCACTCTCTATTACTACAGTCTGATCTGTGGGAGATATGTTCCAAGATGCCCAGTGCACTCCTGAAACTGCAGATAGTGCCGATATATACCATACTACGTTTTTTTTTCCCTTTACATACATACATACTATAATAAAGTTTAATTTATAAAGTAGGCATGGTAGGGAGATTTACAACCAATAATAGAACAATTATAACAATATATGTTAATAAAATTTATACAACTCTTTCAAAATGTCTCATTGGCCTCTACTTTTCACTTGAAGAAAGCATTTTACAACTTCTGTTTGGTACATCCAAATTTCCAATATCACTACTCTTTATGCTTTGGGGCCATTATTAAGTAAAATAAGGGTTACTCTTATTTTATTTTTTTATTTATTAATTTATTTATTTTTGTTACAGATGTTTCTCCTTTTTACACCACTAATTCCACCCTCCCCTTCCCTCCCTGCCCTGTCCCCAGCTTTGTTGTCCATGTCCACTGTTCATGCATACATGCATATAAATTCTGTGGTTTATCTCTCCCCCACCATCCCCTCTTCTACAGATTGTCAGTCTGTACCCCACTTCCATGTTTCTGAGACCACCCCATTCCTCTGACTGTTATGTTCATTATATTCCGCAAATAAGTGAGATCATATGATACTTGTCTTTCTCTATTTGGCTTGGTTCACTTAGGATAATACTTTCCAGGTCCCTCCATGTCGTCTCAAGGAATAAGAGATATTTCTTTCTTACAGCTGCATAGTACTCCATTGTGTATATGTACCACTGCTTTTTTATCCATTCATCTATTGCTGGACATTTGGGCTGATTCCAGATCTTAGCTATTATAAATAGTGCTGCTACAAACATGGGAGTATGCATATTGTTTCTGATTGGTGTTTCAGGCTTCTTAGGGTATATTCCTAGAAGTGGGATCACTGGGTCAAATGGAAGTTCAATTTTTAATTTTTTGAGGTAGCACCATATTGTTTTCCATAGTGGTTGCACCAGTCTGCATTCCCACCAGCAGTATACTAGAGTCTCCTTTTCTCCCCACCCTCGCCAACACTTGTTGTTTGGTGATTTGTTGATGGCGGCCATTCTGACAGGTGTGAGGTGATACCTCATTGTTGTTTTAATTTGCAGCTCTCTCATGATTAGTGATATTGAGTATTTCTTCATATGTCTTTTAGCCATTTGTATGTCCTGTTTGGAGAGGTGTCTATTTAGTTCCTCTGCCCATTTTTTAATTGGGTTCTTTGTCTTCCTTTTGTTGAATTGTATGAGCCTCTATATATATTGAAAATTAACCCCTTATCTGATGTATCATTGGCAATGATGCTCTCCCATATAGTGGGTTGCCTTTTCATTTTGATGATTGTATCTTTTGCTGTGCAGAAGCTTTTGAGTTTGATGTAGCCCCATGTGTTCATTTTCTCCTTTGTTTCTGTTGCCTTAGGTGATGTATCAATGAAAATTTCGCTGAGTAGGATGTCTGAAATTTTGTTGCCTATATTTTCTTCTACAATTTTTATGGATTCATGAGTAACATAAGTCTTTTATCCATTTTGAGTTTATTCTTGTGTATGGTGTAAGTTGATGGTCTAGTTTCATTTTTTTGCATGTAGCTATCCAATTTTCCCAAAACCACTTATTAAAGAGGCTATCTTTACTCCACTGTATGCTCTTGCCACCTTTGTCAAATATTAATTGAGCATATTGCCATGGGTCCATTTCCAAGTTCTCTGTTCCACTGGTCTATATGCTTGTTCTTGTGCCAGTACCAGACTGTTTTGATTACAGTGGTTTTGTAGTATAACCTGAAATCTGGTAATGTGATCCCTCCTACTTTGTTCTTCTTTTTCAAGATTGCTGTGGCTATTCAAGGTCTTTTTTGGTTTCATATGAACTTTTGCAGTATTTGTTCTAGTTCTGTGAAGTATGTCATTGGTATTTTGATGGGAATTGCATTGAATCTATAGATTGCTTTTTGTAGTATGGACATTTTAATGATGTTAATTCTTCCAATCCATGAACAAGGTATGTTCTTCCACTTTTTATATCTTCCTCCATTTCTTTTTTCAATGACCTGTACTTTTTTGGGTATAGGTTCTTTTTTTTTTTTTTTTTTTTTTTTATCCTCACCCGAGGACATTTTTTGTTCAGGTAGAGTGGGAGGGAGAGAGAGAGAGAGAGAGACATCGACGTGAAAGGGACACATCGAGTGGCTGCCACCCACACGACCGACCAGGGCCGGGGACCAACCGCAACCAAGGTACAGCCCTTAGCGGGAACCGAACCCAGGTCTCTGGGACCACAGGCTGATGCTGTAACCGCTGAGCCAAACCGGCCAGGGCTGGGTATAGGTTCTTTATTTCTTGGGTTAAGTTTACTCCTAGGTATCTTAATTTTTTTGGCACATTGGTAAATGGGATTTTTTTTTTAGTTTCTCTTTCTGTGAGTTTAACACTGGTGTATAAGAATGCCATCAATTTCTTGATATTAATTGTGTATCCTGCTACTTTGCCAAATTCATTTACTAAGTCGTTTTGATGGGGTCTTTGGGGTTTTCTACGTATAGTATCATGTGATACAGATGTGTGAATAATGACAGTTTCACTTCCTCCTTTCCGATTTGGATCCCTTTTATTTTTTCTTTCTGTCTGATTGCTGTGGCTAAGACTTCCAGGACTATGTTAAATAAGAGTGGCGAAAGTGGGCATCCCTGTCTTGTTCCTGTTCTTAAGGGAAATGCTTTTAATTTTTACCCATTGATATGATGTTAGCTGTAGGTCTTTCATATATGGCCTTTATTATGTCGAGATATGATCCCTCTATTCCCAGTTTCCTGAATGTTTTTATCAGAAATGGGTGCTGGATTTTGTTGAATGCCTTTTCAGCGTCTATTGATATGATCATATGATTTTTATCTTTCATTTTGTTTATGTGGTGTATCACATTTATTGATTTGCAAATATTGTACCAGCCTTGCATCCCTGGAATGAACCCACTTGGTTATAGTAAATAATTTTTTTGATGTATTGCTGGATTCGATTTGCTAGTATTTTGTTCAGGATTTTGGCTTCTATGTTCATCAGGGATATTGGCCTGTAGTTTTTTTTCTTTGTAGTGTCTTTTTCTGGTTTTGGAATTACAATTATGCTGGCCTCGTAAAATGAGTTTGGAAGTCTTCCTTCTTAAGTTTTTTAAAATACTTTGAGGAGAATGGGTATTAGTTCTTCTTTGAATGTTCAACAAAATTACCCCAGAAGCCGTCCGGGCCTGGGCTTTTGTTTGCTGGGAGAGTCTTGATTACATCGTCAATTTCTTCTGTTGTTATTGGTCTGTTCAAGTTTCCTATCTCTTCCCGGTCCAGTTTTGGAAGACTATGTGTTTCTAGAAAATTGTCCTTTTCACTTAGATTGTCAAATTTGTTGCCATATAATTGTTCATATTATCTGTTAACATTCCTTTCTGTGGTGTCAGTTATTATTTCTCCTCTTTCATGTCTGATTTTGTGTATTTGGGTTCTCTCTCTTTGTTTCTTGGTGAGTCTAGCTAAGGGTCCATCAATCTTGTTTACCTTTTCAAAGAACCAGCTCTTTGTTTCATTGCTCCTCTAAATTGTATTTTTGGTCTCCATGTCATTTATTTCTGCTCTTATCTTTATTATTTTCTTCCTTCTACTTGCTCTGGGGTTTTCTTTCTGTTTGCTTTCTAGTTCTTCAAGTTGTGAGGTTAGATAGTCTATTAGAAATTTTTCTTGTTTCTTGAGGTAGGCCTGTAGTGCTATGAACTTCCCTCTCAGAACTGCTTTCGATGCATCCCATAGATTTTGTGCTGTTGTATGTTCATTTTCATTGGTTTCCAGGAAGTTTTTAATTTCTTCCTTGATCTCCATGGTAACCCATTCATTGTTCAATAACATGCTATTTAGCCACCATATTTTCAAATGTCTTTCGTGTTCTTGTTGCAATTGATTTCTATTTGCATGCCATTGTGATCTGAGAAGATGCTTGATATGATTTCAATCTTTTTGAACTTGTAGAGACTTAGTTTGTG